GACAGTCAAACCGGCAACTTTCTATTAATTCTACGCTTAGGAGAATTTTTTCTGCGCAGATTTTTGAGTGTGATGATCGGTCTTGCAAGTGAGTTATTCATGATTTAATTCAAACACTGCTTCCACTCTTGGTACTCGGGTGGGTTTCTGGCCTATTGAAACATCTGCTATCACATTCTTATCGGGTTTCTAGAGGGAATTTGAAACAATCAAGCCCTCAAAGGCTTTATAACAGTATAAATCGTAGGTCTGATAAAGCCTGCTAACAGCCCACCGTGATTTCGCTACATCTGTCTCCTCAGGTAGACGATCTTCTATCCTAGCTGAAGAGAGATTTACTCGTGCTTCCTTTGCGAGGCTTTATAACAGTATAAATCGTAGGTCTTATAAAGCCTGCCAACAACCCACCGTGATTTCTCTACATCTGTCTCCTCAGATAGACGATCTTCTACCTTAGCTGAAGAGAGATTTACTCACTTATCTTTAGAGGGGAGTTCAACAGGTCCTCAAATGAATCATTATTTGAAGACGTTCTCAAACTGAATGAGCTCCGTGATTCTGACTGGAGGTTCAGTTAGGCAGATATGCATGCTAGCAAAATGTATTTCCTCAGTACGCTTTACCACCATTTCAAAACTACCCGCTACCGAAGAGCCTGAAATAGACTGAAACTGATAGTAGACTGCCTGCAAGTTTTAGTCAGTGAAACAAACAGGCTGTTGGAAAGACAGTGTAGGTTAACCACGAACTGAAGCTCAGCAGACTCTCGTAACAGACATAGCATTCGTTAGCCTTGTAAGCCTTTTAAGTAAATGGAAAGGTTGAAAATCGGTCAGTTGACCTTGGAAAGAATAAATGAATGCTTATAAACATCATCAATACTATATAAAAGTGTCCATGGCGGTGGAACTTGCTTCTCGGTGGCTTTTGATCCGCCGTGGGATACGTTTCGGTCAGTTGACCTTGGAAAGAATAAATGAGTGCTTATAAACATCATCAATACTATATAGAATTGTCTATGGCGGTGGAACTTGCTTCTCGGTGACTTTTGATCCGCCGTGGGATACGTTCACTGCGAATGAATTGTGGAAAAGCGGCAAAAATTACAACGGATTGTTAAGAGTAGCACACAATCCCTACTGCTCAAGTCTTATGGAAGTTTGTGCTCATTCCATTGCCAGTGAACAAGCAGTGGGGCCTTCCATTGCGTCGCATCTAGTTTTTAGCTAATTTTGATGTTTGATAAAATGATCTTATCCAAGCGGAGTCACACACCTATTTACAAGCGAATTTCGTTTTAACAGTAGACTCAGTGGAATATTGGTTGGAGCTCTTGGTAATAATCATTAACTGATTAGGCCATGCAAAGTCTACTCTGTGATTTAGTTGTGGTATTTTTCAAGATATCGGAACATCTTTCTTGACTCAACACTAACCGGAGAAGCTTCGGCAGTTCGCTGCGTATTCAATCCTGTACAGCTTAATTTTCATCACCGAATCCCAGTTTGCAGCAAATTTCTACATATTTAAGCTGAGCGGATTTTTAAATGAATGTGGCCCGCGTTAACTGCCCGACAAAAAGATATCCTGTGGCGTAAAATCCCTAATTCTGGAGCCTTTTACCCTATAATTATGATTTATCTCATTGAAGCCAAAAACATTTCAGGTACAGAGGATAATTCGCTTGGGAAACTGATCATACTGGCTGAGTATGTTTAGCCTTTTTCTTACAAACTCCCCTGCTACCACAATCGAGCTCTTCCTATTTGATTTCTGCTGAGAAATAAATACCGATAGGTTCAGTCAAAGTAAAATCATTGTGCATGAGAAGAGTGCTTCCAGTTTCTAATTCTTCCTATCAGGCCCCGAACACAGGTCAATCCACTTCATGGTATGGCCTTCTTTGGGCGAAACTTAATGAAAATAATCACCGAAAACCAACCATCCAGGTGCGCTTCCGTACCCATTGTTAGGTCTTCTTTTTTCCGTCGTTTATGTAAGTGCAACTTAAAGTAGAAAGCTGCTCATTTTCTACTGCTACTGAGTATCTTTTGACATGCATGAGTAGGGCTGCACTCTAAAATGAGACTTAAATCGGACCTGATTTTAGGTTTGCGAATGACTTCTGAACCCTGGAAATGCTGGAAATCAACCGCTGGATGACCACACCACTTCTGATTTGTGTAAAACCTACTATTGTCACTTAGCCGGAATGGTTAGTGGCAGGACTTAACTCATATTAGCCGTTGTTAGAAGTTGTACACTGGTAAACATCAAGAACACTTTTGGAAACGGGGTATGGCCTCTGAAAACCAATGAAGCGTTTGGACCCCTAACACCTGACATCCACTCTCTGCATCCTTATTAATAAAATAACTGCTTTACCATGATTATTTGCGTGGGCGTAATATGTTGCTAGCAGTATGGCGCTACCCGTTTGGGCTTTGAAGATGGTTCAAAATGAGCATTTTGCGGTTAGTAATTTGCGGCTGTGAGGAAAACATAAGCTCTGATAGCTTCTTGGAGCTGTACCCGGCGTCTTTGAAAAAAAGCCCGGTAAATTGTGAATTTTTTTCCAATTGGGCTGTATAGACATACGTACTTTTACTACCCTATTGGTGAAAGTTTATACAACCGTGTTTGTGATTATAGTTCTATCAAATTAGGACGGTTTTTTAAAACCTAAGGCAAGTTAAAAGATATTCGGGTTAGTCGAAAACCAGCAAGGCGCAGACCTCGCTGATCATTAAGTTAAATATCCCATCAGAAACGATGCGGAATGTCTTTCAGTGCAAGTATGCTGAAGGAATCATGCCTGCCTATCGCTTCCTCATTATCCTGATGGATTTATTGTGATTTTAGTTGGGTTGGTCAGAACTGAGGGGGACCATTTCTGGAGTACGTCAGAAGTATTCTTCCTCTGTGGACAGACTTTATACGAGTGAAGGAGACTGAATTCCCCAAACCAGAGGGACTGCTTGTCGTTGTGTTTCGTTTAAAACCGAAAAACCACTTTGCCACGGTTTAACAACTTCTTTTCCTTCCTACACACTACACCTGTTCATAGTGATCCCTCCTAACAAGTTCACGGGATAGTGTATCTCCTTCATGAAGAATACCACCTCGGGCATTATGTGTCCCAAAACACCTGTAAA